AAATGTTCGCTTGAAAACAGAAGCTGGAATAACCTAATAAAGTTAATATAAATCCGATACAGTTCGTGCTAAACGACGTAAAAAGTAGGTGGACAGCATAGCATAAAACAGATAGAATTTAATAAGAAAATAAAGATTTTCTATCTTTGCGAGACACAAAAGGGTAGGGAAGGTGCTGCATTCAAAATCTTTACTGATGATAACGGTTAGATTCAAGCTAAAATATTTTCGTAAAAGCTCAACAAGTCTGTATTCTAAGGTATCAGCGATAACGTGTTTAACACAAGAGAAGATAAGCTGAGCGGGAGGCGGGNTACGATCATGCAGTGTGACACAGCACGCCTACTTTCCCCGAACCTGCACGGATAATGGGCGACGGAATTTGCAAGACATTGCCTTCTGGGTGTTTTATTTTATTATTTATATAAATATGTTTTTAAATGATTTTGAACTTCAGGATCACGAAGTGGCCAATTACATAGAAAAGGGGGTGACACATATCACCTTTCAATAAATTTATCTTTTGAAAGAGTTGAAATGAAGTTCGACTTATTGAATGATGTACAGTTATTATGACAACGGACTTTTTTTCTTTTTTTTATTATATTTTCAAAATTTTATGACATAACATATATATAAATATACATACAATGTACATGGGCGTCAATAATCGCCTTTAAATAATGTACATACTGCTCAAAATATTCTATCAAGTATCAGTATTCGTCCTACATATATATTAACAAATAAGTATAAATTCACATTTTGATATACAAAAATAAACTTCCGGATATTCTTGTCCGTACTCTATTCTATGACAACGGACTTAGTCATCAACGACAGGTGCAAATTAATCCACCACCTCAACTCGTGAGTTGGCTGATTTATTTCAAAAACATGCAAAATCGTGTGGCCATTGCTAATTTTGAATAAAGTTCCAATTAAGTCCACAACGCCCCAATTGTTCTCAGAGGGTTCTTTATCATACCTTACTGAAATCCATAAATTTAGTACCGTTTAATTAGAAAAGAAATCTCAGTTCTTATCTTAGAGATTTAAATGTAGTTCCAGTTTAAATTCAATATCAATCAAATCTATAACCTTATAAAGAAAGTGTGACTCTTTTCATTCTATTTAAGGTGTTTTAATTTTATTAAATATTCATCACGAAGAATTAACTTACTAAATATTCATTGCATAGATTTGAATGGAATTTCAGATTTCAGATTTTTATTTTTCTCAGACATACAAAGTATGTAACAAGAGGTCAATATGTATCATATCCATATATACATGGCGGATAACAAAGGCATAAAGGCTACAAACTAATTACATACATTCAATAGCTTTTCAAGGTTTTTCTAGAAATTTGCTAACATTTGATAAAACCTTTACATTGCATATAATAAATAGTCTACGCATTTTTAAAAGGCTAGGTAAAGTATAGTAGTAATTTGGAATAAAAAGTTGTCTTATTTGTTTAACAGATACGTGTTCGCACTTAAATAGATAATGATATTCATCACCAATTTCATTAAAACATAGATTACAAGTTCTGTTTTCTTTTGGTATTCCAATCCATCTTCCAGGTTCTACAGTAAAACATCTATATATCTATAATGTAATGTCCGGTGTGGTCACTACACAGATAAACCTAAATAGAGAGGTATCTTCTGTCGCACGTCACTATATATTCGAGCGTCGCATTTTGTTTTAATATAATAGTCTGTATTTATCATAATACATCAATAAATGTATTTTATTACACGCATTTGCATGGTTTCTGAGCTTATTCTGGTAGTTGGAATGAAAGAAAAATACTCTTCCATGCGCAGGGGTGTAAGATATATTCCATAATAATTATAATATAATTCCACCCGAGGGGTTTTCAAATTTGGCAAAAACCGAGGCTACCAGATTTGAAAACCCCTCGGATGGAGCCTCGTGTTTTACCAATGTTGAAAACCACTCGGGTGGAATTTTGCTAGATTTCCTCTATGTATGGTCATAGTGAATATCCTTGTATTGTAATTGTCTTTACTGCTATGTAAATAAATGTAATTCATTCGACCTTCCTGTGCTACATGTACACAGTATCGTTCATTGCGCTATGTTGTACTAAAACATGGTATATAACTTTGATATTTTGCTGTGGTATCATAACCTATAATGTACATTGTAGTATATTATATATTAGTAAGTTATGGTATTAAAATGTACTGTTGTGATGTATGTCAATATATCGTGTTATAATGTATGTCATTGTAATATGCCGTATTGTATTGTCATTGTATATCGTACTGTATTTAGTGTAAATTGATGTAGTTATAATATATAGCATTGTACCATTTTGATGTCTACTCGTCCTATTACTAATTAATTATGATTGAATTTTTGATAAGAGCATTGTATAACTAAAAATATCAATTCAATATTTATATGTAATTGAAACATACCTGGAATTATATCCCCTATACCATCTGCTATATATAGACTGGGGATTTATGCTTATTATTATATAAAATTTGCATCAATATTTTCTTACTGACCGTTTTATTCAGCTTTGTCTTTGTCATGTCAACCTAAGGAGAGAACTTATATAGGCCTAGCCTGCTTTTTTTTCCTATTGTTTACTCAATAAAATATGATGAAATGAAATGAAATGAAATGAAAAATGTCTACTCGTCAATTTGTCCTATTGCACAAGGAGATCAGGAATCTGACTTGCTTTTTATTTTGACGGTTTTACGTCCGTTATTACGGCTTTCAGACTTTCAGCAGACGTGAAAAGATAGAAAAATGAAAATAGAAGGGAAAAATAATGTAGAGGAAGGAAAGATACGGAGAAGGTAGGGGCGGAGAAGATATGAGTCGTCTGTCCTAAAACGAAACTGACACAGAACATCGATACATATTTATAAGTTCGTTTGTCACAATACATAGTGTAGTAAAACCTCGATACAATGTCCTTCATTTATATAGTAACGATAAAACAATAAAACATCAATAAAAAGTCCCAAGTTCTAGTAAAATCAACATTACAAGCCCCTTCACTCTCATCATACACTAAATTATCGATATAATGCCCATCTTTTGTCATTAAAGAGTAAAATATTTATATAACGCCATATAAGTGGAACTTTACTGAAAAGCCTTGATTAATATTGCCCGTCGTGTGTTACTATACAGTAAAACTTCGACATAACACACAATGTTTGTCACTAGAAATATACTTGTATTCAGAAAAAAAAGTCAACAACTTCGTATTCGTAGCCATAATCAAACCCTATTGGGAACCTGAACTACAACGCTATTGTGAATACAAGGAATCGTATCGTTTGTTGCCGGACATATGTCGATTTATCAGTCATAATCAGTTGCCAGTTAGTCATAATGCTGCGAAAATGAAGAATAGTGTGTCTATGAACAACAACATGAAACAATAACATTTGTGCACGGTTACCTGTTTATTTCTTGCAACAGTTACACCTCGTCTAAAAAATACATAAATAATCCGCCATTTTGTTATATGTCTAGTAAGGACATCCGGTACGGAATCCGGAAAAAAACCTCGGCTACTTTACAGAAAAACCTCAGCATAACACAAAACGTTTGTCACTTTAAAGACAAACCTAGACATAACACAACACGTTTTTCACTTTACAGAAAACCCTCGGCATAACGCATCACATTTGTCACTTAAAAGAAAAACCTCGATTTAACACATCATGTTTGTTACTTTACAGAAAAACCTCGACATAACACAACACGTTTGTCACTTTACAGAAAACCTCGACATAACACAACACGTTTGTCACTTTACAGAAAAACCTCGACATAACACAACACGTTTGTCACTTTACAGAAAACCTTAACATTACGCACCAATTTTGTCATTTTACAGAAAAACCTCGACATTAACACATCACGTTTATATGTACTCATAACACATCACGTTTGTTACTTTAAACCTCGACTTAACGCACCGCATTAGTTACTATACAATTACATCTCGATATGACGTCCCCTTATTTGTCAGTTTACAGTCAAACTTCGCTGTAACCCTCATGACATCATTTCTTTATTTCACTTTTTAACAATTCCTTTGTTTATCATCATCTTTATTGTCAAAACCCTGTTAACTGCATTTTCTATGTTTGCTATGTAATTGAAGTGCATGTATAACGAGATTTAACGGATTGTTTCACTGGCCAGGGAGTTGGATATTGAAAGGTCTCACAATGACGTCACAAATCAATTTGTCATTACGCCTTCTACATGTATTTATGACTTATCAATTCATTGCTGGTTCTTTTCCGAAAATTTCCCATTTATTTATTTATCACTTTAGATATTTTTCCATCGGAGTAAGTTGTACTTCTTTATAAACTGAAGTAAATATGAGCATCAGGTCTTGATTTCGAGAACTGATTTCAATTTTACAAAACACCTTCTTGTATATAGCATACGAGAGCTATACTAATCAGCTGTAATGTCAAAAATGAAACACACAAACATCTTCATGAGATTTCTAGACGTTTCCAATATGTCTCAATCACTTTACAACTATTTTAATTAAGCTATTTTTGAAACAAAAAGCGGTCCAGTCGTTCAGAGCATGGCTAACTTTAATTATTAAATTACTGGCACATGTTTCACTACATATTTTCAACGATATCAAATTCCTAAAATTTTAACTGAAAAGGTATGGAGTCTACTTAACGACATGATCCTAATATTAAAAAAAAAAACATCGTTTGAAGAATTTGAAATTTATATATAATTTATATTAATTTGAAATAACGACTTCTTAAGTTGACAATTCTTAGAACAATACTTGTGACTGTACAGTGGGCTGTTCTGGCGGTGCATTGTGGGTCGTTCTCGCGTTTATGACAGATTTATTGCCCTACTAGATAAACATGACATCCGTTTATTAATTACAAGTATATAAAAACAATGCATACAGGTAAAATAGTCGTATCTGCTAATGGCTCGAGCCTGACACATTTCGACGTTAGCTGCGAACTAGAAAGGTTTCCGTTGTTCACACCACGCTATCTATCCGTTATAGACAAAAAATATCCAAATTGATACCTCGCAAAGACCGTCAGTGTTGGTACAAATGTTCTTCATTCGCGCCACCTAGGACGACAGACAGACACTGTTAGATCTATAGAGAGCCGTATCATATCGGCACTAAGGAAACTTCAAAAACAGTTTTAAACATTTCTAAATGGATTTTTCTCTTTTCTCCTGAAAACTGCCGTTTTAATATTTTTCAGGAAAGTAATACTTAACTTTTGTTTTCTACCATCAACAGGACATATAATCTGATTGACATTCAAGAATTTGTGAGGTGGTTTTATATCTGGATGCATATTAAGACGTTTTTTAAATTGGATTAGAAAAGACATTTTTACAAGAGATTATGGAGAAAGTAACGATACGTTTTCTCGCCGTTTCCTTTGTGCTGTTTCTATGTAAGTATTGTTTTGATATTTACTTCCATTTCAGCTTATATAGGACATTAATTTTCAAAATATTGTAATTATTTTATTTTGATAAGGTTTTGTTTCTTCCATGATAATTTTCTATTGTATTCCCCACAACAAACCAGTTGATGTAATATTAGAAATTGTAAAAAAATGTATGTATTTACTAGTATATCGTTTTAATTTTCAACTTTAAGATGATGAAATGATTATCGAATCCGGAATTAATTGTCTTGGCCAGGTTTCATTTTACAACTTACAAAGCAATGTTGATATTTCGTTTGACTTCCAAAGGTTCCCAGGGTGAAACTGACAGAGAAACTTTAAACATATTCATTTTCATTCAACTTTTTTACCTTTTGTTTCCTTTTCATTATTATTATTTTTTGATAAAATAATTTTGGTCCCATTCAAAAAGTTCTGGTCCATAAAAAGAATTGAAAGTAAGAAAAAGGAAACGTGACATGGCGTCTGGTCCAGGAAATATGTTCTAGGCGTTTACGAAACGAGAATACCGCTGATGCAGAGTAAAATGTACCTTGCGCATGCGCCGTCCACAAACACTTTATTGACGTTTTCAGTTCATTTAGATGATTTAACTTTACGTAATTTACTCAACTTTTTATTTTACCTGTTTATTAAAACAAAAAGGTATTTTTATTATTATTCTAGCACGCCCCAGGTTTAACAGTAGATAATTCAGTATATATATATCTTAGTAATTTTATCCCTTAAAGCGCCACTTCTTTATTTCTCTTCAAGTTATAAGAATTCCTTAATGTGTTTCTGAAATATTATAACTTATTTTGACAAATAAATCTGAAAACCTTGAACGCCATGGATAAATTGTATAAATGAGGAAAGTCCATCGATTAAACCTGTTGGTAGACGCGCTGCGAAACCGAATATACCTGAAAATTTAACACAAGGGTAGGTACCTGACCAATCAGATGTTTCGGTTGCCTTGTTATAGTACGATTCGAGTCGATGTCCTGTCCGTATGAATTACACATATTAAGACCAATTGTGTTGTCAAAAATATTTTCAGGGTTTTCCATCAATTATACACAAACATTTTTTTACACGATTTATCTGCTAGGAAAATAAACCTATTTATCAGTTTAGCAAAATATGACTCTGTTCTCTAAACCTGACTGTGTAATGAACAAATGTCAACTAAGAAATATTTATTCGGGGCCATGTAGTGATTTTGTTTCCTTGTATTACTCAGCACTTGATCCCATTTGACCTTTTGTGTTGACGGGTCGTTTTAACGTTACAAACGACCAACACGTAAGTTTGTGTGGGGAGCCTGAAGCCTTTGTAAGCCTTCGAGATTGTTGTCGCGTTTACCATTACACAAAGTCGGTACGCTGGTGTGAGATACTTGATGCTTTGTTAAACCTTTATGAATGATCGCGACAAGTGAGCTTGAGAGATTGTAGTCTTTTGAACATGAGAGACTTGCTGCTTTGTAAAACCCTTACCAATGGACGCGACACGTTAGCTTGAGCGATTGTAGTCTTTTGAACTATTACAAACAGCCGGTACGTTCGTGTGAGAGACTAGATGCTTTGTAAAACCTTTACAAATGGAGGCTCTTTTGAACTATTACAAACAGCCGGTGCGTTTGTGTGAGAGACTAGATGCTTTGTAAAACCTTTACAAATGGGGGCTACACGTTAGCTTGAGAGATTGTAGTGTTTTGAACTATTACAAACAGTCGATATGTAATTATTAATAATGATAATAATTTGATGTTCATATATACCGCTTTATCACAACATAGATCGTAGGTCGTCTCAAAAAGGTTCGCAAATTACTATCCGTGGTTATAGGGCCTTTACAACCAAACAATATCTTTCTCAACTCCCTGGGGGAGCATACAGCCGGTGCTGCCACTTCGGCACTCACAGCTAGCATTCAACAATTCCAGTACTGCCCAAAGTATGAGACTACAATAGTAGATGCGTTAAAAAACCTTTACGAATGGACGCGACACGTTAGCTTGAGTGATAGATTGTAATATTTTGAACCATTACAAAACGTCGGTACGTTGGTGTGACTTTGGTTTCTTTTGTTTAACGTCCTATTAACATCTAAGACCATTTAAGGACGTGTCTCCATGTGTGTTGTGTATGCGTGTATGTGTGCCGGAGGCGGGGTATATTGGTGTATTTGCCTCCTTGTGATAGCACGGATCTGATGCCATCTTTTTAGTGCTTAAACCTTACTGAAATGCCATGCCGAAGGCACCCAGCACAGCATTCCGTCCAGTTACTCCATACCGACAACGGGTGAACCAGTTGTTGCCATTCCTCTAAATGCTTGACGTTAAGCAGGGAATAACAGCTACCATTTTTCAGGACGCTGTTGTGTCTCGGCATTCGAGCAGAACCCATTGCCCTCCTCACCTGGGTGAATGTTCAGCATTAACGCCAAAATTGCCAAGCAAAGCGCTAGTAAACAAAAAGTAATTAGAAGCAGAGAGAAACCACCAATATTGCAATGGGGGGGGGGGGGGGGGCACTAGATTAGTTGTAGTTTCTGCAATGTCCCTATAGTTGAAGAACAGAGAAGAAATATCCCGATTCTGCAGTGGCCTCACATACGTCGCCTTTTACGATATGAAGTGGGATATAGCAGGTATACTCCTACCTCGAACTTGCAGGGGGTGTCTTAATTTATACTGTAAGTCAAAAAAACTAGCGTAAAATACGAACAAAAACAAGAATTACACGGAGACCAATGAAAAAGTAAAGGAGAATACGACCATGTGTTCCGGAAGGGTAAGCGTCTTTGGCTTCATCGGCAACACCGCCATGGCTAAATCATAGTAATGTTCCATGTGTTGAATTTAGAACTTTGCTCTGCATACCACAAGCACTGATAATACAAGGGCTAATTTGAATCTTATTTTTTGATAATTAAATCCTTTTCAAGGGATATAAATCTAATGGTACATTGTGTAAGGCCTTTACAACCGTCAACAGATGACGGATGTATAAGAAACCCCGAAACAAACAGTCGTAAATATAACCATGTCATTAATTAATTATGTGTATTAAGTATATGTCAGTAACATCTAGTGAGATCCTGTTTCATACGTATGTACGTGTCACCCCAACCTGTTAACTTTGATGTTTATGAACAAGGTCGGAATAAAAATGTAATAACTATGTCAGACATGTAAACCTGGCCATGGCTTGTTCACCACGCATTATTAGCTTGATAGGAAATTTAGACTCGAAACATAATTGTCTAAATGCATTTTCCAACACTTTTTTTAAAGACTGTTTCTTTATATTCATAATTGCCAATTCATTCATAGTCTATATTGAAATGTATTGTTTTGCTAGTTTTTAAAACGTTTTTGCAAAGATTTTTTAATTAAATTAAGCGGAGCGTCATTAGTCTTGTCATCATTGCTTCAACTTTGCCATGAATTTTGCACTTTTTATCACGTTTTCATCACTAAAAGTATACTTACAGATTTCAAAGTTATGCGGTAAAAAAAGGCAAATAAAAAACAACTTAAAACGTTTAGAAATCTTATAGAAAAAATATTTTATTTTCAGTTTAGGACACATTAAGCTGACCAAACTTTGATGAACGGCATTGTAAACATAATTAAATCCCACACCTTAATTAAGTCCTACCGCAAAAATGAAAGGTGCATATATGGGCATAGAGACGGATTACGTAGTATTTGGAGAAGTCGTTATTAATATTACGTATATTTTGGGCGTATATTTAAATTTTTGTATGATTCATTTAAATATTTCATGCTCATTTGACGTTTCTCCATAACTTTGCAGAAACATGTACTATCCGATACCTGTTACGAAACTTGTTATTGTCACGTGAATAATAAACATCTTAAATAAATAAAGAAAAAAGAGGCCGCCAACCCCAAACCCCAACCCTTCCTCTGATGATAATTAGTTCCGACTATGCACTAGATGAAGGTCATCGTGGCAAGCGTCACTCAAAATCTCGTGACGTCACAAAATAATATGTTGATCAAAAACAAATAAATATAAGTGTTCAGTATGGGGATAGACTGATATCACGACTTTCGTGTTATTAACACACCCTTTATCAATCAGTAATGACAGTTACACTTTCCAGTGAATTATAATGACGTCACAGTAATCCTACATATGACGTCACTGACCTGTAGATAAGATTTCTCAATGAATACGACGCCGTATTGGTCATAAATGCGTAGCAGGAAAACATGTTTGTTACTTGAGCAAAATAAACAGCTCGTGCACTATTGCTGCGCTAATGCTCATCTTCACAACGTAGATTTCCTAGTAAAGTCAGTGAATATGGATATAAATATATTCATACATTTTTTTATTGTTTCAATAAAGCCATTTCACCTAGTCGGTGTTCATTTATTCGAAACTCGATTTTTTAAAGTATTTATGACGAAACTAACGAAACATGTTATACTTAAATGATATTTCAAGCTGACAACACTGTCATTGTTTACAATCTGTCTCTACCAATACGTAGTGTATTGGTCATTGACAGTACTGTCATAAAACGGCCAATTACTTGGCCAATTCCTTATCAATAACATAAATGGTCAGTGTCCGCTGAGCGTTTGTAACGGCTGTGTGACGCTACACGTGTGTGATGGCCGAAATATCATTATACTGTGACATTAATGGTAAACATCCATGTACTAATGAACCTGTACAAGTTATAGCTTCATTAATGATATGCACATTATAGGACAATACCACATTTACCGCCCCAATGGTACGTGTAACATCGTGTTGTATTCCTGTTTAAATAGACATGGAAATGCATAAATAGCCGAAAATACTGATTGATTAAACAACATGATTTAATTAAATATGTTGTCTGAAAACTGTACATTTGACAATATAAAATTCCGGATATTTTGTACAGCCATTTTCTAAAATTACAATCTCCACAAATCCGGATATTATGTAATAATTTGCTTTGTATGT